AAAGGCTTTTCAGAAGTTCCATTTTGGGAGAGAATGATGTGACAGCAGGATGTGACAGACTGATGTGAGGTGTTTACTTGGATAGCCCCAAGGACTTGGAATGCTTTCCAAAAAGAAACCTCAACCCACATCTTTCCTGTCCTTCTAAGAAAATTACAGTTTTCTTATGTGTATAAACCTTTACATAGGCACATGGAAAGCTGGATGGAAGCTGGATGTGGAAGCAGCATTCCCAGGTATATGATGTGCAGTCCTACACACAATCACTTGCAACACTGTTGAAGTGGGTGGGTCTGATTTTGGGATGGGATTCGGAAAGTTGCCATACCCCCTTTCCTTCAAAGATCACATAGCTCTCCTCTTTCCTCCTTTATCCTCAGATCAACTGTATGGGAGAGGCCAAACTGAAAGAGAATGACTGTCCTCACCTCATAAAGTGAACCTCCTACTGCAGTGGAGACTTGGACCTGAATTTCCCACCTCTTTACCAGTTCTCCAGATTCATTGTTGTTGATGCTACTGTCATCTCATCTGCTGTCATTGTTCTTTTTGGACCCTGGAGGCTGTAACAGATATATGTTGCAAGGCTTCTTCTTTTTTTTAAAGAAAAGAGTTTTATATTGTTCTCAACTACCTTAAGGGCATGGAAAGGTTTGTGTGGGTCCAAACGAGTACTTAAAGCAAGCAAACAAATAGGGTGACTCATGGGGAATACCCATTAGCAGATGTTTGATCTAAGTAGATTTCCCAGAGTTTAAAGTGTTCAAACGGATGTCAGTGTTCTGTACTGAAGGGAAGACATGTTATGACATCGGTTTCAGCATGGCAGTCTTAGTGCATCCATTGTATATTTAGGTTAAAAGTGCTGGGCGTCTGCTTTAAAAGGCAAGAGAAAATAGGATTTCTCAATATTATGTCCAAAACAGTGTTCTGTGAGCCTGGGATTACCAGCACAGTTTTCAGAGTTGTTGAGTTCTGACCACACTAGCCACGAAATCCCTTTGGGCTGCTCAAATCCATGAACGTATTGAAAGGCTTACTAAATTTTGCACTGAGGATGATTACAACAACAACAGCAACAAACAAAACAACCCCTCCCACGCAAAACAATCAGCTCTTCGAAACAGCAGCAGCAGCAGCAACAACACACACTTCAGATGCCCTGCAGGGTTTTCTGATTTACAGTAAAACTATTCAGCCATCCCAGACACTCGCCCTAACATGATGCAAAAATACCTGTCCTTTGTATTTCATATTTACAAGCTGTGAATTGGGCAAGTGCAGAATTCTGAAATTTTGAATAATTTGAAATTGTAGATCTCCTGCTGTGTTGTTTCCAATCTTTTAGGTCAGTCTTTCACTGGTTTTGTGAAAAGATTGCTGGGCATCACATTAGGGCACCCAGATGCAGGAGTGATGGGAGGGTGTAGGGGAGAGAACTGGTGGATCCATATCCTTGGGTCTTCCTACTGTTGGGAGCAGAACAGGAAATGGAGTCCCCTGGCACCCCTTTCCACTGTGAGCTGGCTTAGCTGCAGGTCTGCCCCCTTTCCTACTCCCACAAAGATTATCTTCTGTGATGTCAGAAAGGCCGTATTATCTGGTGTCAGGTTTTGGCCTTCAAGTCTCTGAGAGTGAGTTTTTGCCAACCTGGCATCCCTATGTATGCAGGTTTCTTTCAGGTGATAGCAGAAAACATAAGGATAGAAGTAGCTTTAAAGGCATAGCAGAAAGGAGCAAGATCTCCTCAGTTGGTGTCCCCCAGGCTGTGGAAAGATCTCCCTGATGAGGGGCATAAATATTCATTACTGCTTTGCTTCAAAGGGCATTTAGTATGCTTTTGCCTTTAAAGATGTTTCTGGTAGATTATTTTTTTTTAAAGCCTGGTGATTCATAGTTCGAATGTTGTAAATGACTGAGGTTTCATGGAGTCAGGGTGGAATAAAGTGTGGTGTCGGCGAGGGTGATAATGATCACAATAACTGGCGAGCCAGGATACCGAAAATAAATCATTCTAGTTTCATGCTTTCAGCATCCCTGTAGAAATAAGGCTACACATATCTGGAGATATGAACTGCTGGACAGCTCAGTAGTTTAGGCCTCTGGCTGTGGAGCAATAGGTTGGGAGTTCAAATTCCCCACAGTGTCTCCCTGACAGAGTTTGAACTCAAAGATCCACAGGGTCCCTTCCAGCTCTGCAGTTCTAAGATGATGATGATGATGATGAATTGTTGGATTGGGGCTTCATTCCCCCTTCCCCTAAGTGCACACAGTACCTCCCATGTTAATTTCCTGTTTCTCTTAGACCCTCGTCACCTCAGATTTTTGAATAAGGTACCATTGTTTATGTGGCTGGATAGACTGGGGGGGGAGAGGGGGGAGAATGAGACACCTGCTGATAGAGATTTGATAGCCTGTAAGCAAGGGCACTTTAGGGATCTGGATCATTGTTACCAGCCCCCC